TTTTTTTTTTTGTGTGTGTGTGTATATGTATGGTTTATATACATAGTCCAAACAAGCATAACCTTTATTAAGGAACTCTCGACATTAAAAATGTGATTAGGGTTTATATTCAGTATATTTTTGATATGTGCTGCAGTTTCTACCACCTCGCGAAAAACTATTCCCGTAATCTATTACCACCGTAATATCTGTAAGATTTTTTTTTTCTAGTAACCAACACGGAAATCGTGCATTAGATAATGGGAGGTTAACATTAAATAGTAAATGAGTCTAAGCATTAAATCAATTAAATGTTATCTTTTAAGTAAAGATATAATTAAATGTATGTGTATGGTATAATTGTAATATTTTCATAATCAAATAGGATAGATGAAAATTTTCCTATTTATTATTAATATGATTAGGGATAGGTGGATCATAACCCAATGTATTCCTGAAAACCTAATCTCATCCTCCTCAAAATCCACGTTGTAGCCTATAAATACACCAGTGAAGGATTCTTTAGCAAGACACGTAAAAATCAGGCCACTCATAGAAAGACAGGAATACGCCAAATTACTTCAAGGTAGAGGTACATAACTGTCTGTCCAGTCCCGTAGACCTTGTAATTGTCTTTGAGTCAACACATCTCAAACGTAAAATTTTGATCCTAAACTTTAGATCCGCATCGCTTAAGATTAAACTTTTAGGATTCGATTAACGAACAATTAACTGACGTTCTTCGTTGAACCCAACAATTGGTATCAGAAGTCAAATTTAATTCGATTTATTGTACAATAATTAAAATAGACTTGCACAAATTATTTACATGCACGTGCGACAAATATAACACATATATACATAATTCGAATTTTCAAGATTATGAGAACCAACTATTATGATCCAAATGTATTTGTTTAATTAATGCACGTTCTTAAAGCCTTCGACATGTCGAAGATTTATTATTGCACTACTTTATTGTTACTTTCATCAAGGTAAGTAAAGTAAGAGAATTACGATGACTTTAATTCATAAGGTAAGGGATACGTAGACAACTTAATTGACATATTATAAGTTAAAATATCGTTTTCAAACTCAAAAAAATCTTTAGCTTAATTTATATTTTAACTTATAATATGTCAAATAATCTAAAGTCCAGTTCTTTAACACCCCTCCCCCCCCCCATTTTTTTAAAAAAAAACTCGGTCTGAAACTGGCGGTTCACTGAACCGATTTAGAACCCGCGGTTCATTGTACCGACCCATGTATATGATAGGGCCGCTTAGGGCTTCTAGAACCTTGACCTGAAACTGGTTGTTTCTGAAATCGAGTTAGGCCATGACTACGCATAGTTTATCGCATAATAGTTGCGCACTACTTCAATTAACTATGTATATCTGTCGCATATTTTATCGCATAATGAATCTCGCCTACTCTATTATCTTTGCTCGTTTATCGCATAGTTTATTGCATAATTATATCGCACTTGTTCAATTAACTTCGTCTATCTGTCGCATAGTTTATCACATAATGAGATCACACTTGCTCGATTATCTTTGTATGTCTGTGGCATAGTCTATCGCATAATTATTCGCACTTGCTCAATTAACTTTGCATGTCTGTCGCACAGTTTATCGCATAGTTATTTCACACTTTATCAATTATATTCGTTTGTCTGTCGACATAGTTTATTTACATAATTTTGTTCGCACTAAATGGGTAAGAAAATTAACTTGTTATTTGTGGTGTGAAAAACATCATATTTGTTTGAGATTTTTCGAGTAACATTTTGAGACATATTGAGAATAGAGATTTTTTAAGATTTTCAAACTTTGGAGCATAATTTTTAAACCCAGCCCGGTAATCGACTCGGGAAGGTCTCCGGATCATTGGGTCACCGGTTCAACTGCCGGGTCACCGGGTCAATTGATGAACCGAATAATTAATTTTATAAATTTTAAAATTATATATATATATATATAGTATTTTGTCATATAAATATATACATAAAGTAATAAAATTAAATATTTTGTGTGTAAAATTTGTAGATTAAAGTGGTAATAATATGCATTTCATGATAAATATTTACCATATAAATATATATACATAATTATATTTTTTGAAATATATATATATAGGGACCGGGTTGACCTAGCCGGTCAATGTCCTGGGTCGACCGGGTCAAGGTCGTGTTGGCTGGGTTTTGACCGGGTTTGACCGGTTCTTTTGTTGTCCGGTCCAATTAGCCTAACTGGACCAGTTTCGGCTCCCCCACCGGGTCGATCTGAGTTGAAAAAACACTGCTTTGGAGTAATCCTATAAATCTTAAGGTTTGAGGTGGAATTTGGAGTGAGATAAAGTGTACTTTTTTCTTTTAAAATTATAATAAATTTTAAAAGTTTTAACAAATCATAGTTTTAAAAAATTAAATACATATTTTTTAAAATTTTAAATGATTACTTAGATATTTTTAAATATCTTAAAAAAAAATAAATTAAATACACTAAAAAATTTCTCAAAAGTCTTAGAAATAATGAAATATCAGACAAATACAATTTTCTCTGGTATTATTTCTTCCTCGGCTCCTCCGCATCTCAACTCATTCTTCTCACCGTCGCCGGACAAACATGGCAGCTACTCACTTCTAAATGTTCCACTCTCTCTCTCTCACACACACACACACTTTTGGTAATACGCCCGCAAATGGCTTCCTCGATCTCAGCAAGTCTCTCTCTAAAGCTGCTGGCCCCACAGAGACTCGCCCATCAACACCCCCTTCTCAAACCCCCATCCCTGTCCGCCCGCCTCCGCCCCCAGCGGGTGGCGCGTGAGGTTCCACCGACGATCCATCCGGACTCCGCCGTTTTGTCCCCGAAGCCGGCGGGGTTGGAGAAGGACCCCCGCGAGCTGTGGAAGAGGTACGTGGACTGGCTGTACCAGCACAAGGAGCTGGGACTCTACCTGGACGTCAGCCGGATCGGGTTCACGGACGAGTTCTTCCGGGAGATGGAGCCGAAGCTCCACAAGGCGTTTGGGGATATGGCGGAGCTCGAGAAGGGCGCGATTGCGAACCCAGACGAAGGCAGAATGGTGGGCCACTATTGGCTCAGAGATCCCAATCTCGCCCCCAAACCTTTCTTGACGCAGCAGATTGAAAAGACGTTGGATAAACTTTGTGATTTTGCGGAGCAGGTCGTCAGCGGCAAGGTCAGTTTCTCTCTCTCTCTTCCTCTCTCTCTCTAGAAGAATTTCAGGTTCCCAATTCCCATGGAAGCAAATTGGAAAATGAACAATGGAGGAAAGACAAAGGACGTTTAACACTTTGAATGGTGAATTAACAGGTTGCCTAATGATATTTTGGAGTTTGGCCTCTGTCCAGGGAAACACACACACACACACACAATGCGTTGCTTATTATTGTACCTAGTGACATTTTGGAGTTCACGAGCTCATTATTGCAAGATTGCTGAAAAGAGAAATTTTTGATATAATTGTACTTCGGAGTTATTATCAGGCCATCACCACCTTGTTCATTGCTCAGCTGTGTTACTGTAACTTAAAGTAGCGAATGTCGTCGTGGAGCTTTCCTTCACCTCGTGGAAATTATTTTCTATAACTAGCTTTCATTTGGATTTTTATTTCTCCTTTTCCTTTCGTGAACTCGAGTCTTTTCAACTGCAGATTAGACCTCCTCAAAAGGATAAATTTACACAAATCCTTTCTATTGGAATTGGTGGTTCAGCTCTTGGGCCACAGTTTGTTGCGGAGGCATTAGCTCCTGATAATCCTCCTCTTAAGGTACTTTACAGCACACACATGTATTATCCCATTATGTTTCTTTAAGTTTAATATTGAGTGAACACTTTCATGCTGTGCTATCAAGTACTCATGGATTATACACCTTCCTGAATTCTGTGTTGTCACAATGTTTGCAGATAAGATTCATTGACAATACAGACCCAGCCGGCATTGATCATCAAATAGCACAGCTCGGCAGTGAGCTGGCGTCCACACTCGTGATTGTGGTTTCAAAGGTATCAGTTGAGCCTTTTTCCGAGCTGGTTTGTTTTCATGATTATACGCTGCAAACTTTTAACAATTTCCTCTGTTCTATCATAGAGTGGAGGTACTCCTGAAACAAGAAATGGTTTGCTTGAAGTTCAAAAAGCCTTCCGTGAAGCTGACCTGGAGTTTGCAAAACATGTCTTGCTCTCACTTTTTTTTTCTCTGCATTAATTTTCTATTCACCGAATTTTCTATTGTAGTTGTGAAACACTAAGATTAATGGAGATGCTGCAGGATATTGCGCGTTGTGTGTACACAATTTCTTTTTTTTTTTTGGAAATAATTATCTTATCACATTGGCACATCAGTTGAGTTTTTTATGCTTTTAATGACATTGTTCAGAGTGTTGTCCACAGGGTGTTGCAATCACACAAGAGAATTCATTGCTTGATAACACAGCACGGATCGAGGGTTGGTTAGCTAGGTTTCCCATGTTTGACTGGGTGGGCGGACGAACATCTGTAATGTCTGCTGTTGGTTTACTTGCAGCCGCACTTCAGGTCTTTTTACTTGTCAACTTTCGGAATTCTTTTTAAATGCTGTTTAAATTTCATGTATAGAATTGATGCCAGCTGGAATTAACAGGGAATCGATATTAAAGAAATGCTTGCGGGTGCAGCATTGATGGATGAAGCCAACAGGACCACACTCGTAAGCATATAGTTTTCTTCTTTGTAAGGAAGCATGTTGATTTTACGAATTTGGTGTTTTTGATTGTGTTATTCTGATAGGCATGTCTGTGATAAAATATGATATGCTATGTAGAGTTCAACCATAGGTCAGTTTGGTCGATCTTCTTCATCTACCTATTTTCTTGTATTGGTTTTGCTTCTTCTTTGTAAGGAAGCATGTTGCATTTTACGAATTTGGTGTTTTTGATTGTGTTATTCTGATAGGCATGTCTGTGATAAAATATGATATGCTATGTAGAATTCAACCGTATGTCAGTTTGGTCGATCTTCTTCATCTACCTATTTTCTTGAATTGGTATTGCTCTCATTCATTCCATTGCTGGTACTAGGGTGAATTTATGTATGTGGATGTATGAAATGTATCTCATGAAAACTTGGAAGGACAGCATAATAGTTCCATTTTGACTTTTTTTTTTTTTTT